AAGAGACTGCAGGATCTAATTGCCATGGCACAGGGGCGTATAGAGACTTTGACTGTAGGGGGTGGAGGGGTAGTTGCAACTGGGGCACTGCCTAAAAATAATAGAATATAATTAATCTTTATTGTCTTCTAGGGTCTCCAGATACATAAAACATTAATGCATTCAGTAACACAGACAAGCAGAGCACATTTACACATTAAAACATCATATCATGGTTCCGATCTCATCAAAAGGGACATCAAAAGGGGTGGAATTTGTGTACACACACACACACACACACACACACACACACACACACACACACACACACACACACACAAACAAACAAACATTTTTTTGCTCACCCTTCTGTCTCCACTCAATCTTAGTTACTATTGAAGTTATGGAGGAATTCAGTTTAATGCATTTTGGAGCCCACTGAAGGTCTCTGGGTGCAACTGCACTGTGGTGGAATACACATATGGCATGATCCACAAAAGGATTGCACTACTTTTGCGGCTGCTAAACATGTGAAAATCAGAGAAAACATTACATGCAATCCACAAAACAAACATAAAAGATTAAATGCATGCAAACTGCACTGCCAAGAAAACAGCACCTGTCCCATTTACATCTATGTAAACTAATAAATATCCATAAATTCTGTGCAAAAATTGCCGTCTTATATGAAAATAAGCCGTGTTACAAAATACCATCTAACTCACAAAGACCAGTGCAAATTGCCATAGGCATTTATAGCGGTGCTATTTAAGGCTATTGAGACCTGTCTATTAAAAAGCTGCACCTTTTCTCTCTCTCTCTCTGCTTACTCAAATAAACGCAAAAAGAGGGCACATTACTGGTGGTAACTGTGGCACAGTATTCATAAGAGATGACACACTTAAACTTTCCACTGATCAGTAAAACAATTCCACCTCATTATGACTTAAAAATTAATGATCTCTAATAAACTCTAAAAATATGACTTTGACATTATGATTATTTTTAATATAACAAGGGGTTGAATCAGTCTGGGGTTGTCAGCGGCTCCACACTTCATCCACATGAAGTGTGGAGATGATCAGGAATGTTTATCATGATGGAAATGTAAGTGTGGATTTTTTCTTTGAGTTGCCCTTTCTTGCTCCATTCAGAAAGGAAGCTTTGTTTCAAACAGTTAAAACTCAGCTCCGAGCAGCGTAAGGGGCAGATAGGTTCTCACCACATTCAGACAAAACTTCGGGGAGCAGGACGAGTTTTTTGGCTTATTTGTATTTGACCTTATTAGTTGCAATATGTTTTGTGAATCTGACCTTGATACGGCACACTTTAAACTACTTAATTACTGTGAACAACCTGTTTCACCAGTAGCTTCTCAAGGCTGGGCGAACCCAAATATGAAACGGATCAAGAAGTGGACAAAAGATTGGCACTTAAACGGACTATTTGATTAACTTCAGGACTGAACAAACATTTTAAGTCACACAATAAAACGTCAACATATAAACCTTCTCAGCCTAAATCTTTAAGAACTCAAAAAGATGCAAAAATTGCATGCAATCTTCTGCACACTGACTTGCAGAAGTACATTTATCGGCAATGTTTTGGCACTGAAACTTTAAATTACTAATTACTAAATTACTAAACTGAGTGTGAAGGAGTTTAAATGCAAAATTGGACGGACTTATTCCTTTACGACATACCTGTCATGAAATAGATGAGCAAAGTATTTCTTTCAACATCTAAACGTACTTACAAAAGAAAATATTCTACACTGACATGTAAAGAAAACTACTTGCAGAGTCCCGCCTCTGACATGGCAAAAGGCCAATCACACTTTTTGAAGGAGGGCTCATGCCACGCATCTGGAAACGGCCCTTCATTGGCTTCGAAGTGGGAAGAAAAGGTAGTGAAATATTGCCAATATATTTGTGCAAATAAGACAGAATGCCAGAGTTTGCAATCTCTGTCTGTCTGTGTCCGTCCGTCCGTCCGTTTGTGTATTTCTCTGACTGTTTGTCTTTCTGTCAGTCTGTGTATCTCTGTGTCTGTCTACCTGTCTATCAGTCTGGGTCATCACTGAGACTGAGAGATTTTTGGGAAAAAATAAATAAAAAGTTTGAATTACAATCTATTGACAGTTTAACTTCCTTGAGGACATTTGATGTTTTTTCCATTTTGAGGGCTCTTTTCACCTCTGTAGGTCTTATGGATGCTTAAGTCTTCATATCAGTCTGTTACATCACCACAGGAGCCCCGCTTCTTTCTGCTCCCCGCTGACAGACGATTGGATGCTCACTGAGGTCAGCTCATTGATCATTTATTGATTCTTCACACAAACAGGCAGATATATTAAATAAATCAAGCGTTTACATGATGTCACACAGACAGTATGAGGTCAGAGATCAGCTGACAGAGTCAGGTAAACAGGAGTGATGCTGGTTAAACATTAAAACACAAACAGCATAATGTGATGCCATGATGATGTAACACACGGTTACCATGGTGATATGTTTATGTGTGTTTAAACTGTTAAAGACATGTTTAGTGTTGTATTGCGGGTGTTTCCCTCCGCTTCCTACGTGTGATCCAGGTAATCCGTGAGCAGGGGGGGCAGAGGAAGCACGGGGAGGAGCTTCAGTCTGGACCGACCAATCAGTGACCTGATCTGCAGACGACACAGCTGGCAGAGAGTCCTCGGAGACACTGGAAAGAGAGGGAGATCCAGATGTTCATGAGACAGGTGTCTTTGTTAAAACATCAGAGAAGACTCCTATGATTAATCCCATATGATACTAACTTCACCTTTTCTCTTGTCTGTCTGTGAAACCTATAGAGTATCTTTGCATGATTTGCAGCTCAAAAAACAAATTTCTCTTACACTGGTGTCTGTACAAACCCTGATTTCAGCCTCTGCCTGAAATGCTTCGTTCCAGCTGTTGTCTCTTTAAGGCTCCCCTCCCCACATGCCCACTTTCCTTAGATCGTCCAGCTTTCAGAAAGCCCTCCAGCACTAGGTTGCACCAGCTATGCGTAAGTTCAAACATAGCCTATTTTGAACTTAAATTGAAGAGAGTTTAAAGGGTTTACACACCAATTACGTTTAGGGTGAATTCACACCAAAGCTGTTTGAAGCGAACTCTGGTCTGTTTGTTGGGTAGTTCATTATGTCTTGGGTGGTGTGGATGTTTAAGGAAACTCTGGTGCGTAACAAAGAATCAAACTGGTCCGCTAGCTTTGTCATATGTGAAATACATTTTCGTCACTGTTTGTGGATCAACTGCAGTTAATGGAAGTTATTTGCAGCTGGTAGTTTTTTTCAGAGACCGTAAGGCACTCAAATGAACGCTGAATAAAAAAATGCTTTTCACTGATTGGAAGTTACTCCACTACCTAGTGCAACAAAGCAAAGACACTACTTAAATTAAAACGTAACTAGTTTCAACGTAAGGTTTAGTGTAGACTTTACACCATAACTTAGGACAGAACTTGAGCAAAGCTGGTGCAACAGTGCACGGGGGGCAGAACTCGTGAGCTGGTAGAACAGCAAATGAAAACGTCTCCACCTGCCTTCATTGAGGCTCGAAGCTGTCTCGTGAAAGTCTTGCGGAACTCTCGCATGTGTTAAGCAGAACGAGCCGTTTCTTCAGACTTATCCTTGGATTACTCCAAAATACGTTTATGTTTAATATCAAGCAATGTAACACTCTAGGTGAGTTTTAAGATGGGGATAACCACAATAGGTCAACTTGACAATAACCTTCAAAGCTCTGCAGCAGCTGTTGTGTCTGACCACCAGTGGCAGCCAGCTCCACAGCACGCTGATTGTTCCCGTCTCTGATGTTCACGTCAGCTCCATACTCCAGAAGCAGTGACACCAGATCAGCTCCGCCCGCTCTGACCGCCACATGGAGAGGACTGTCCGCTCCTCGACCGACGTTCACTCTGGCGCCTACAGGACAAGACCAGGTGAGACAGCTAACACAAGTGTGAGCAAGTAACACAGCTGTGAGACCTGTATGATCACATTTGTGAGCCAGGTGTGGTTACAGCTGTGCGACAGGTGTGATTACAGTTCCGAGGCAGGTGTGAGACAGGTAACACAGCAGTGAGACAGATAACACCAGTGTAATACAGGTAACACGGCTTGTAGACAGGTGTGATTACAGGTTTGAGACAGGTGTGATAGAAGTAACCCAGCTGTATTGCAGGTAACACAGTGAGGAAGGTAACACCAGTGTGATACAGATAGCACAGCTGTGATGCATGTAACACAGGTGTAATAAATGTGATACAGATGCGATATAAGCCACACAGGAGTAACACAGGAAGTGCTTCTTACCTGTGTGCAGCAGAATCTTGGAGCACTCGGTGTGTCGGTGTAAACAGCTCATGTAGAGAGGCGAGCCCAGGTGAGACACCTCGTAGTCTGGGTCAGCTCCATGAGACAGCAGAATCTCCACACACTGACTGTTACCTGCACACATAGGTGACACATTATTTCCTCTGTTCTGTAATGTTCATAAGATCCTCACCTCTCTGCACAAAAAAAATCTGACTCAGATATAAACATTTATATCTTAAAGCACCTTCAGTGTAAACAAACCCTGAGACGTTGTGTTAAATGTGTCCCTCATTATGTTCACATCTCACCGGTCAGGAGTGAACCTGTTTTAAGGTGTTTACCTCTCTTGCAGGCTTCGTGCAGGGCCGAGGGGAAGTGTGCGTGTGTGGTATGTGTGTGAGCTCCGTTCTGCAGCAGCAGCTCCAAACAGCCAACACTCCCAGAGGTACAGCAGTTATACAGAGGAGTCACCCCGTCGATGGTGGCTGCATTAACCTGCACCGACACACACCCACACACAAACACGTGAGTGGACAGGGTATTAATATTAAAAATATTAAAAATGATAAGAGTAACGTCAGCTTACATTAGCTCCAGCGTTGAGCAGCGCTCTGACACAGGCCACATGTCCTGACAGACACGCTTCATGCAGAGGAGACACGTGGTCGATGGTGACGATGTTGGCGTGATAACCCTGAAAAGTGGAGACAGTCAGATAATGAAACAGTCAGTCTTTCTGTTTGAACGGTCTCACTCCCTCTGTTTACTTTAAAGATTAAACTCATACAGAGTATGAACATACATATGTTTACTCAACCAGGACAGTAAGCACAAGCTGTGAAGGGACTCATTGAACACTGAAAACTGCACTGTGTGACATGTTGACTTGGAAGTGAAAAGTTGAGGACATGAGGTGATAAAACTTTAACTGTACTATATTAAAGAGGTGGTAAAAGTTCAAACTGGATCTTTGAAAGTGCAGACTCTGTTCTGATCTGGATCTCAGACTCTGTGTCTTAAATTCTGGTGTTACGTCCAAACTAAACCCTAAGTGTAAAACTAGTTAGTTAACAACTTAAGTTGTGCCATTGTTGGGTCATCACAGAGACGTAAGGTTCATCTCATCAACTAGTAGAGCATAACTTGATGGGCCCAATCAGCGAGCAGCATTTGTCTTAATCATGTGTTTGTTCCAGTGTTTCCTTTCGTGTCTAATTGTCTCTGAACAAATTAACGGCTAAAAATAAAATCTGGCGGCTGATCTTAATCCATAAACACAAACTAAACTGTTTTTTAAACATGACAAGGCATTATGATGCCTGACACCTACAGCTATCAACAGTGCCATCTAGTGGTAAAATATTTAACTACAACATGAGGTCATTTTAACAGTACTCTATTATAAGATGAATTAAATGCTCAGGGAAAACTACAGCAGAAGACAGAGCTGCTGACACACAGAGCTGCTGACACATAGAGCTGCTAACACATAGAGCTGCTGACACATAGAGCTGCTGACACATAGAGCTGCTGACACACAGGAGCTGCTAACACACAGAGCTGCTGACACAGAGCTGCTGACACATAGAGCTGCTAACACACAGAGCTGCTGACACACAGAGCTGCTAACACACAGAGCTGCTGACACATAGAGCTGCTACACACAGAGCTGCTAACACACAGAGCTGCTAACACACAGAGCTGCTGACACAGAGCTGCTGACACATAGAGCTGCTAACACATAGAGCTGCTGACACATAGAGCTGCTGACACATAGAGCTGCTGACACACAGAGCTGCTGACACAGAGCTGCTGACACATAGAGCTGCTGACACATAGAGCTGCTAACATAGAGCTGCTGACACATAGAGCTGCTGACACATAGAGCTGCTGACACACGGAGCTGCTAACATACAGAGCTGCTGACACAGAGCTGCTGACACATAGAGCTGCTACACACAGAGCTGCTGACACACAGAGCTGCTAACACACAGAGCTGCTGACACATAGAGCTGCTAACACACAGAGCTGCTAACACACAGAGCTGCTAACACACAGAGCTGCTGACACAGAGCTGCTGACACATAGAGCTGCTGACACATAGAGCTGCTGACACATAGAGCTACTGACACACAGAGCTGCAAACACACAGAGCTGCTGACACAGAGCTGCTGACACATAGAGCTGCTAACACACAGAGCTGCTGACACAGAGCTGCTGACACATAGAGCTGCTAACACATAGAGCTGCTAACACACAGAGCTGCTAACACATAGAGCTGCTGACACAGAGCTGCTAACACACAGAGCTGCTGACACACAGAGCTGCTGACACACAGAGCTGCTAACACACAGAGCTGCTAACACACAGAGCTGCTAACACACAGAGCTGCTGAAACACAGAGCTGATCTGGACCACATGTGAGACTGCTGCAAACAGTCAAAGAATTAAAACAATAAAGAGACAGGCTGCTCCTTGACACGTGTCACCCATGTGTGCATGTATCAATGTGCATCTATGTGTGTATGAGTTTATTACCTGGGCAAGCAGAGTGCGCAGGGCGAGAAGTCGACCCTGAGACGCTGCTTCATGAAGAGGAGAACGATCAGCCCATGAACCTGAAACGACAGAGAGAGATGGGGTTTCTATGTGTCAGCAGCTCTATATGGCTTTTGGCGGTGGGATGGGACTGTGTTTAAGTCAGGACATTGGACACAACTCTGTTCCATTTGTCTGTCCCTCCCTGTGTATACCTATCCCCTCTATCTGCCTCTCTCTGTGCATATCTGCCCCTCTTTCCCTTCTAGTGTGTAATGTGTGGATCATACCCATATCTCCGTCCCCCCACGGCACGTCCAGCCACTGATAGACATAAGACATCCTGCAGAGACGAGCTGCAGAGACACGAGCTGCAGAGACCAGCTGCAGACCTCTGACTGTGACCCCTCACTCTGGAGCTACTGCTAAAAATAACAGCTACCAGCTAACTGATCAAGGGCCTGCATAGGTTCAGCACAAAAGATTTAACTAACTAACGAACCAGTTGGACTAAAAAACCAGTGTGTGTAGCAGCTAACTCTGACTCTCTGCTGTCACACACGTTTTAAATTCTTCTCCCCCTCTGCAGACACACTCACACTGAGACAGCCATATTTAGACAGTCTGACCCTGAAATACTCACAATGGTATGTGACAGCGACCATTTTGGTAAGGTCAACAAAAAAACAACAGCAAACACCACAGAAAACACTTTTTACTTGACTTGTGAAAAACCTGTGAGACCTGAACACTTTCAAATATCCATGTCTCTCGCTCTTATTATCTCTCTCTCTCTCTCTCTCTCTTTCATTTTAGTTTGATATCCTCTCACCAGCTCTGACTGATACGGAAGAAGATTAGGGCCACTGAAAAAAAATGTTTTGGTTCTGACTTTTTTTTTAGGATCTCAGAATTCTGAGATTAAAGTCAGAGCAGGCTTAAGACCCCAACTTTTAAAATAAAATTGATCAGTGCAGATGTCTGCAGCCTCACTAACTGCATGCCTTCATAATACACCTCAACCTACAACAGCAGTCTGCAACCAGGGGGGATTGTAAAACTTCTGATCAATTTTTAACCTGTTCATCAAAAGTCTATGTTCTGATTCAGAGCTGAAAATATGCTGATTAGTTTTATTATAAATCTTGAAATCAATCATGTCTCAGACAAACTGATGAATCATTTGATCTATAAAACATCCATGTGGATCGGTGTTTACAACATGACGTCGGCAAACGTTGCCAAATATTAACTTTACTGTCATGGAAACTATTCACTTTAAAGAGCTACAGTCAGAGAGATTTACACTGTTTTCTTAAATCCAACCTGCATCTCCTCTCTCCCCCCCCACCTTTAAAACCATGTGATCATAATAATGAGGTCATGTGATCAGTGAGCGTTTACACTGATGGATGATTGTTAAACATCAAAGAACAGTGAGACAGCAGAGAGAGTGAGACTATGGTCATCTGCTGCAGAGAGAAAAAACAAAACAATACGCAAGAAATAAACAATTCATTCATAAAAACAGTGAACACCAAAAAGCTGTCTGTGTTCATAACAACATTGTCCAAATGGTGATACTTTTCGATGCCATGATATAATCTGTTTTTTTAATGATCAAGAGTATCAAAGAGTACTGAAGCTTAAAAAAACTAGCCTATATCTATTTCATAAGACAGGTGTGAACGAGAGGAATGAACCCACCAACAAATTGCATTGGCAGCATTGGGATATGTGCTCTTTTGTGCCATATAGACAGTGTGTAGAGGTTTGCTGCCATTTTTGATGATTAAAAACAAGAAATTACCCAATATTGGGTTTCTAGGAGGACTTCTATTTTTGTTACAGTGGTATTAAACAGGTATATATATATAGTTTTTTAATTACCAGAATCATATTTAAGTTTATATTTCTGGTATCATGACAACCCTTGTTTACAATGGTAACGTACTATGTACTATGTTTAATTTTTAACAAGATACAGTAAATCTTGTCAGTCTCCTGCTGATAAGAAATAATTATAGAGTTCAATGACCTGACAGGCTGCGACCAGAAAATTGAAAAAAAGTTGAGTGTTATGACATCACTTTGTTTAATTCAGCTGATGTTTTCTTCGACCCCCCACCCACCCAATGTTTGTAACCCCCCCTCCCGCAGACGGAACCAACCTTGGCTGGTCAGGATCCCCCAGCAGGTCTTCTTCCTCTCCGGCAAGAGCTCTGGAGGAGCCCCGGGGTCCGCGCCTCTTTTCCGGGACATCTCCGGAGCTGCAGGCGGGACATCAGGCATGTTTAACGCACTGCAGCTTTCTGGATCTCCGCTGTCAGTACCACACTGACGGATTTCCCTGTGACTGTCTCAAAACTCCGACTCACTGCAGATGGCTCACATCTGCTCTGTGATTGGCTGCGCGCTTTGTTTTTGTCCTGTTTAGAGCACGTGACCACCTCACATGCACGCACACGTGTGCACGAGGGAGGCTATTTCTGTCCCTGAAGTGGACAGCCCACACATAACATCCCCCCTTCGTTACATGTTTTTGACAGATGTGTACGTGTGAGTATGTATATATGTGTGTGTGTGTGTGTGTGTGTGTGTGTTGTGTGTGTGTGTGTGTGTGTGTGTGTGTGTGTGTGTGTGTGTGTGCGTGCGTGCGTGCGTGCGTGCGTGCGTGCGTGTGTGTGTGTGTGTCATATGGAGTCTGAATTTAACTCTTAGTGTTCCAAACAGAGTGATCTTTTTAAATAACGTTTGAATTCATTATTGATTGATTTATTTCCGGGACATTTTATAAACAAAAAAAAGTCAAACTAAAATAGATGACATTAAAACTGTGTTGCAACAACATTTAACATCTTTATTTTAAATTGTAGTGCAACTTTAATGCAAATATGGTCCTTCGTACATGGACCAAATATGTTTCACATTTATAATTCAAATGCAACTTAATTTCACATGCGCACAGCTCTCTAGGCAGTATACCCGTCATCAGATTGATAGATTGATTCGTTATTATTCGTTTCCTGAGTTAAAAAAAAAAGAAAGCTCATTCAATAAATGGTTTGTTGTGTTTACTTGAATTAATAAAGTTATTTAAAAAAACGTTCTTCCGCTGACTCGTCGCTATTATTTAAATCTGTTTCCTGTTTCTGATCTGTCAATTTAAAGTTACACAGACACGGAACTACATGCTACAGTCATAAAAGTTAAAGTATCTAAAGAACCAACAGAATATTATATCATCACAACGACGGGAGGACAGTTCTTCAAAAAGTTTCTCAAAAACACCTGAAATAGTTTGTGTCATATTATTAAAATGTACGTATTTTATTACGTATTATAATTATACGTACTTTTATTTTGAAGCTCACATACAGGAAGTAGATGTAAACTGTGAAGTCGCCGACCGAGTTCCCGGTTTGTACTCCCAGCTGCTAGCATTATTGTTAGCCTTGTCCACGCTCAGCCTGTGTAATCTATTAATTTGTGATAAATTAACCCGGGTTAAAGATGAACACGGTTTTATCCCGAGCGAACTCTCTGTTCGCTTTCTCCCTCAGCGTCATGGCGGCGTTAACGTTTGGCTGCTTCGTCACCACCGCCTTCAAAGACCGCAGAGTGCCGGTGGACATCCACGTCTCCAGAGTCATGCTGTAAGAATACCTCTTTATCACACTGAATACTAACGCTATTTTAAAAGTTACTATAACAAAGAGAGAATATGAGCATATGGAAACCCGTAGACTGCCGGTGTTATGTCGAGAAATGCATCCCTGCTAATTACTGCACCTCGCGGAAGTGTCAGACATCGGTATAAATCTTATTCCTGGCGACAAATCTGCAATGATAAAATATGTGAAGTGTATACTTAATAAAGTTAAGTGTCCTTATTATTCTGTAGACACGATAGAAGACGCATTTTCATTAGTCTGCAAACAGCGTTTGACTGAAAGTAGAGGAAATTGAAGGGTGGATGCAAAATCCTGCAATATAGTATTTTAAGGGTGGATGCTAAAATCGGCAGTAAAGAAATGGTGTCTGCAATGTTTTTGCATAGTCCTGCGATGTGCAGGCAGGCAGGCAGGCATCACACCGGTCCAACAGCTGCTAACATCCGCTCACAACCCTGTGTTACACCTGTCTGTATAATGAGTGTTATACCGTGCATTTTATATCGTATTTAAGTGCAATTAACTAAATAAATGGTAGGATAACGCTAGGATTAAGTATAATAACATTCAGTGTAAACATTCAAGCTAGTTTACGGCTACAAAACATGTCCTCTTGTCTCTGTGTGTACTCACGTGTCCTCACCTGTCCTCTTGTCTCTGTGTGTACTCACGGGTCTTCACCTGTCCTCTTGTCTCTGTGTGTCTTCACGTGTCCTCACCTGTCCTCTTGTCTCTGTGTGTACTCACGTGTCCTCACCTGTCCTCTTGTCTCTGTGTGTACTCACGGGTCTTCACCTGTCCTCTTGTCTCTGTGTGTCTTCACGTGTCCTCACCTGTCCTCTTGTCTCTGTGTGTACTCACGGGTCCTCACCTGTCCTCTTGTCTCTGTGTGTACTCACGGGTCTTCACCTGTCCTCTTGTCTCTGTGTGTACTCACATGTCTTTATGTGTCTTCTTGTCCTCACAGGAAGAACGTGGACGACTTCACAGGTCCCAGAGAGCGCAGTGACCTGGGCTTCATCACCTTTGACCTCTCAGCCGATATCCTTTATAAACACACCTAACACCTGTTAAAATGTGAGATCTACTTAGATCTAATGATATTTAAGAACTGCTGTGATCTGTTTATATTTAGTTATATTAATGATATTTAATGATATCTGCTGAGTTTTCATGCTCACAGAATACTCAATCACTCAAAGCCTTTAATTAATCAAATAATGATGATTTCATAGTTTTATGTTTTTGTAACTCTGGTCCGTACACACAGTTATTTCTTTAACTGTTTCCACATCTGCAGCCCATCTTTGACTGGAACGTCAAACAGCTGTTTCTCTACATGTCAGCAGAGTACGCCACCAAGAGCAACGTAAGACACACACACACACACACACACACACACACACACACACACACACACACACACACACACACACACACACACACACACACACACCACATTTATGAAAGATATTTTCTCAGTGTGTCATCTATGCAAAATTCTCAGTTCTAGGAGTGAACAGATCGACATGAGTATTCAGCGTTTGATGATCTTGATGATCGACTGATCATCAAGTGTTTCTTTTTATTTATTTCTGCTCTACTTCCATATTCTCATTTGCAACATACACTTAAAGCACATGATTAGACTATTTGACTTCTAGACTTGGCATAACAATTTATTCTATGATAGGACTTGCTCCATCCCTTTTCTCACTTTAGTCTGTGTTATGGTGACCTTATAACAATATTACACTTGTCCATCTACAAAACAGCAGGCACACACACACACACACACACACACACACACACTGACAGCCCACTCTGTAATCATGTGTTTTAATGAATGTTTTGTATCTGACCGCGATATCTGGGCTTTGCGCTTGGAGGACTATAGCCTCCATACATGGGGTGCACGCACTAACCACTACTCCACCAGTGCCCCCACTCTAAACTTTTGATTGATATATTACATGGCTGATTATGACCTTCCTTTCACTGTTCCCAGCCTATAACAGCCAATGAGAGCCTGAGTTGGAAGGAGGTGCCGTCCCCTGTTCTATTCTGGCCAAATGCATGTGACTGTGCTAGACTGACGTTTCTTGTAGCCAATGAAATTTTGAACACTTTGATATTCTTGCATAATTATGGAGATTGATTCAAATCATTTTCAGAATTAATAAATTGGTATTAAGATAAGCTGTTACTTGTTGGGGAAAACAGACAAATCACAGTAAAGTAAACACCCCCACAAGGCTGGAATGGAATAATCCTTGTGCTCGACTGTGAGACTGTCAGTCGACTGAGGCTCTTTCAAACAAATCGTTGAAGATTGGGCTATATGGGGTCACCCCTCCTGATCATCACATAGATACTGACAGTGATAATAAACTGTGTGTGCTTTCAGGCTCTGAACCAGGTGGTTCTTTGGGATAAAATCGTCCTTCGAGGTGAAAACACCAAACTGAACCTCAGAGACACGAAGTCCAAATACTTCTTCTTCGATGACGGCAATGGACTGAGGTCAGGCACACACACGCACACACACGCACACACACGCACACACACGCACACACACGCACACACACGCACACACACGCACACACACGCACACACACGCACACACACACACACTACTGTTAAAGGACCAGGTAAAAGGACCTCTCTGATTTAGTTGTTTTCAGTCTTCTCACCTTTTTGGGTGTTTTCTTGATTTTCTCAGATCTGAAGGTTGGGTGCGTTCGAATTGTCCCTCCTATCTCCTTTCACTATCCACTTTACCTTAACCCCAGAAGCATTTAAGTGGCGGCCATGATAAGAGCCGTTCGAATTCTCTAAAAGTTAAGGAAAGGTGGGTCAATGCTTCCTTTATAACCTCCTTTGGCATAGGATACACTGGACCATCCTTTATGAGAGGAGATGAGATATGCCGCCTCACAATTCCTTGCGGCCGCAACATTTAAAGCGAGTCGCGCATCCGACTGTTCACGGAAATGAACGATGATCGTAAAGTGACACAGATCATGTAAGGGATAAAAAGATAAGTCACATTTTTATCCAGATGATGTTTTATTCAACATATTTCATTCTCTTAAGAATCCTTTGTGCAGTTGTACATGTGTATGCATAAAATATTATGTGTAGGCTATATTTTGCATAAATGTAACATTTCATTTCATACAATCATATTTATGTTGATTTGAGTGGACAGGAAGGTGATGGTTTCACTGGTAGTCTATATTTCTTTTATTTCAATCCCAACCTCGTGGTAATTAGGATTATTTCACCGGTAAGAAGGCACAGGGGAAAGTTTTTTAGATGCGTTTTTTGTAGTCCATTTTCGGAACATTGTAGTTTCAACACGTCAGACCCACGTCATTAACCTCCGCCGGCCCGTCACATTTAATGACGTGGCCTAGTGGAAAATGCGGTCGGATTGTCAGAGCAACGAGATCGCCTTTCCCTAAGTCCTTTATGAATTCTCCTAACATCTTTCTTTAACCTCATGACGTTTTCACGGGGTTAAGGTGAAGTGGATAGTGAAAGGAGATAGGAGGGACAATTCGAACGCACCCGTTGTCTCTCAGTTTTTGCAGGTTGAATGTTATCTGCTCTCTGATTGGCTGACGGTTGTGTCTGTCTCTCCTGCAGGGCCAACAAGAATATCACTCTGTCTCTGTCCTGGAACGTTGTCCCAAACGCAGGAATCCTTCCCTTAGTGGCTGGCAGCGGTCACATCAGCCTCCCCTTCCCAGAATCATACGAGGCCACCAGGAGCTACTGATCCACCTAGACACGCACGCACGCACACACACACACCCTGTTTGTGTTTCTTGTTTAACAAAATCTTTGTAATAAAAGGTGAAACTGTGGATTCTGTTGTAATTATTTGCACAGATTAGAACATTTCACACAAACAGAAACTCTGCTGTCAGTGGACACCATATTTCCTGTCTCTCTAAAATCTGCACTATAAAAATAAAGGAAGCGACAAGCAGAATCACACTCACCTGAAATGTCTGACTCAGTGACATCAGCATGTTTGTTTCTCTCAGCTGTTTAAAGTGCTATAAAGTGTTATCACCTGTTTCATATCATGAGAGAACAATATTAGTACATTATTTATATAATTAGAAAATTAAAGTCAAACTGTCCGAGGTAACCGTGACGACAGCAGGGGATGGATTCTTGTTTTATGATAAAAACACTGAACATGAATATTTTTGTTAGGTGAATTTAAAATGATTTTATAAAAGTATATTTTTTAAACACGTTCCCCTATATGATTTAGGGTCTCAATTAGTGAGCCGACCTCATCTTCAATCCAATCTCTGAGCTCTGCTGGAGACGTGGTGACTTTAACTAAAGGTGAAATCACAGGTTAATACACAGCAGTTGTCATGACCGGTTCAAAGGCTATGACAAAGGGAGAAAAAACATTAGATTCTCATAATCATTCTTTTAACATCTGTATGATACCACTGTATTAAGTTTGTGCGGGTAAAAGTGTGGAACTTGTATGTACGGAGCATCTCCCATGGCTTACAAAAAAAGTGTTACACTTGTTCAGTCAAAATTTGGGGGGGGGGGGGTCATGAAACTCCTTAACTCCTGAGAAACAAAACAGCAAACACAGAGTTCAACAATGAAACAATTCACTTTATTTATTTCACAGTGATTGAAAACGAATGTACAAAACAAGAGAAACCATCAAACACAGTCTGATCATCAGTGAAAACAGGAAGAGAAAAAAAACACTGCAATGTTCATGTTTGTAGCCTAGCTCTCTGTTCAAAGTCTCAGTGTGTATTTGTGTGCATCAGTCCATGCGCTGGATTAGCTTCTCCTCCATCATGCAGTAGTGGGCGACATGGGACAGATCAGAGATGAAGGCGTCACACGCTCTTCTGCTCACACCTGAACATCCACGCAGGTCCAACAAAGACAGACAGGACAGACGCTTAAGGTAAGACAGACAAGTGTCTGTCAGCTCACTGCAGCCTGAGACAGGGAGAGAGAGACACGGACAGTCAGCAGTGTGCAGAGATATGAGAAGTTGATGGTCAGTCATCACATCAGGCTGATCATGTCTGATCTGCTGCTGTGTTACTGAGAGGACTAAATTCATTATTAATAAACCAGAGGAATCGCTCCCTGCTGGACATTTGACAGAATGCAGGTTGAAGACAGCTGAGTGTGCTACTTGTGTTGTCTCACCTGCTAGGTAGAGTTCGGTCAGGTTGTGTCTGGTGTGTGTCCCTGCAGCAGTGAGCAGAGCGATTGACGAGTCACTGATGTCCTTACAGTGAGACAGGTCGAGTCTCTGCAGCTGAGGCATGTGTCTCTGCAGCAACCTGAGGGACGAGTCGCTCACCTCCAGACCTGACAAATGCAGAGTCCCCATGTTCCTCAGCCTGCTGCGGGTTGACTCGGAGTCTGAGGGCGGACACAAGGGGTTAATATGAGGTCAACGACTGACTTTCTAAAATCAAATGATAAGAGTTCAAAAAGAAGAAGAAGCAGCAGCTACAAACTCTCAGTTTTTGAACACGCTGACCGCCCTAGGTAACATGAAAAACGACTTCAGTGTATGCATGTGTGTGTGTGTGTGTGTGTGTGTGTGTGTGGTTCTGACCTGGGGGGATGATGATCTCTTTGATCTGAGCGTCTCTGATTCCTTCACACCAACGCAGGTCGAGCAGACGAAGACAGGGAAGAGAGGGAGACGCCAGCGCAGACAAACAGGACCAGGACAGACCGGTAACCCTCAGCTCCCTCAGACCTGAGAGAGAGACCGATAGAGAAAGAGAGGAACAGAGACGGAGAGAGACCAACACAAACACACAGGTGGTTGAGACATTGAAACCTCAAACTTAGTAGGGTTGTTAGAATATTACATTTTAGACCTATATGATTCTAGTAATAATCAAACAATATCAATACCATGGCAAAAAAAACTAGAGTACCAGACACCCAATATCGAGCATTTCTTTTAAATTAACAAAAGTGAAGGCAAATTCCTGCACAAATAAAATAAACCCTCTTTAAAACAAATGTTTAAAATGTTGACAGTGCTCTCTCTCTCTCTCTTTTTTTTTTTTCTTAAAATACTATATGTCTTATTACCTTAGAGACCACTTAGCACTGAATAATCTCTGTTTGTAGTCTAAGCAGTATTGACCAATCAGGTGTCGGCAGGCTTTGGTGTATTCTTTATGGAGAGAAAAAACAGGAGCACAATTCTGTGATGACCTCCTGACTCCATCAGTGCTTATCTTACTTATCTCTATTAAAAGATATCTGCAGAGCAGCTAACATTCGGTTCTACATTGATGATTTACACCGAGGGAAAGTTTAAATTTGTCATCTTCCCTACAGACCTGACAAAGCTTAACTTTTCACAAATCCGCATCCTGATGTTGTTATTCCAGCAAACCTAAAACCCAATAATTTGAGTAATTCACAAGAGAAGCAGTTTCTTTTTTGGGACATATCACTAAAGTAATCCAGAGTGAAACCCCCCATTTACTGTTAAGCTAAGACTCACCACAAAGAAGATGAATATATAATCAGGATTTATTGACAGCCTTCGGCCAATTACAATCCTGTATTATCACAGACAATGACATGAGTGGAGCAGGGAGGGGGCTTTGTGTGCGTGTACCTGGCAGCCTACTGAGCAGACAGGTGAGCTGTCTCTTGGCTAGCGGGGTCCAGGACAGGTCTAGAGAGGACGGCTGACGTTTGATGATTCCAGCCAGAGACTGATTAGAGAGAGGACTACACCGACTGACATCCACATGAGACCACAGACGCTTATCACAGCTCCTGAGATACACACACAGGATAAAAAACAAAGACATGAGAAACAGGTTAAGGGCTCACACTGATGGAGAGTTCAATATGTATTCTTCTACAGGAGTTTGGGGTTGCATTACTGTACTTCATATATCTTAACAGGACATTAATAGAGGAGTGCAAAAATATCTGGTGTGTGTGTGCGCTATGTGTTCAGTGTATCTTACCACTTGTACCAGGCCTTGCACACAGTCATACAGTTCAGCAGCTCGGCTCTGTCCAGGAACCTGAACACTGACACCCACACTTCCTTCTCTCCTCCCACCTCGTTTCCTACGTCTTTGAAGGAGGGGAGCGACAGCAGGGAGGGGGGAGACAGGGAGGAGGAGGGGCGGGGACCGTCCTCTTCCTCTGATGAAGACCCCGAGCCGTCTCTGGCGCCTCTGGTGCCATGGTTACCCCGCAGACGAGGCCTATGACATCACACACACAGAGCACACATGGTGTTAAATTAAATCTTTATTTTGAGGTCTGACTGAGAACAGAGCCCCCGTATAAAGATTGTCTTGACTAAACACAGCTGCTCTCTCAGCAGGGTTAGGTAACGTTATATTTAGTAGTATTCTGTTCAATACCTGCCCGGTCCTCGAGGTGTGGCGCTCTCAGTGATGTCACAGCTCTTGGGTCGGGAGGGTTTGGACAGAGTCTTCCTCTGGATAAAGGCCTGCTGGCCTGCAGCGCCCCCTGCTGACCTCTGAGCCACAGCTGCCTCCAGCTTTGGAACGATGGAGCCTGAACACACACAGGGCAGAGACTTCACTTTCCAGCTACAGAGTGAGGATTTAATTAAGTCACATTGCTTATTCATGGGTTATAAACATGTTTAAAAAAGGGCTGTCAGCATTAACTAGTTCATCACAATTAATTAAGGTTGGAAATGAATGCATTTCGTTTTTTTAATCGTGATTAATCGCATGCTATTTTGTTTGTGTGCTATTTTATTTTGTTTCTTTGACCGTGGTTAAGTTAATGTTGAACCTTTGATCTACCAGAACATCCTTCCTTAATTTCACAATAAGAGAAGCATGGTTAAATTCAAACAGCAAGTAAAGTACCCTCAGCTTCAGACAGTTCAAAAATTCTAAACAAAAGCCTGACAATTAATTTTTTTAGCACGAAATAATGGAATTTAAAGAACGCAATTAAAAATATAAATAATAACTATTGACATTTTGCGATTACGGTAATCGTAATTAAAATGTTTATCCTTTGACAGCTCTAGTTTAAATACATGTTTTAACATCTTTTCAATGTTATAAACACACTTAAATAAGTGTTTTAAACATGTTTAAAGTCATTAAAGACATTTTTTTAACCCGTCATTAGCATCTTCAAATACATGTTATTCACATGTTTAAACACTTATAGTTATAAACATGTTGCACACGTGTTATACACACGTATAAACAGAATATTCTCTGTCACATATACACATGGCAGCCTGTGAGGTGTTAAGGAGCTTACAAACAATATGTCATTATATGTCAACACTGACCACTGTGCGTGCGGGCCTTTTGGGGGTGCTGTAGAGTCACAGTCAGGTATGAGCCGCTCAGCAGGTCGTCACTCAGGTCTGACACCAGGAGGACTGGAGGCTCAGGGTCTGAATCCCAGCGCCCCTCCTCCTCCTCCTCATCCTCCTCATCTTCCAGAGTGTCTAGCTCATCCTCATCAGGGTCAAAGTCTCCTCCATCGCTGTCATCCTCCTCGTCATCATCAGCTCTTCTCCTTCTTCGTCGGTGATGATGACGATGTTCTTTCCCTTCATGCTCACTGTCCTCCTCCTCCTCCTCCTCCTCTTCATCATCCTCCTCATCATCATCGTCGTCTTCATCATCGTCCGACTCATCTGACTCATCTCCTCGTCGTTGCATCCTGGACCCGCCCCGCAGCCTCACGCCCCTCCCCCTCCGCCCTGCCTCTCTCACACCCACCCCTCGCTTCAGTTTGAATGCAGAGGACCCAGCAGGCATGACCCCGCCTCTACTCCCTCTGTGGGCAGAGCCTCCTCTCAGCAAGCCCCTCCTGTTAGCATTGAAGCCCCTCCTGGTAGAGTGGACCGCCCCTCGAGCGTGGAGCGCCATCTTCCTCCTCTGAGAGCCTGGGGACGCAGAAGGAGGGATCACAGTCAGACTTAGGAGTTTAAGTTTTTAATTTACTCTGCTTTAATTATCAAGCATTTACAGAAGGCATCCTGTGAGCTTCATCAAGACACTGACCTTCATCCTCATCATCACTGGCAGAGTCATCTCCGTCTCGGCTGTGTCTCTGTCGTCTGTAAATCTTCGCCATCCGAGCGTCCAACAAAGACGAAGATTTACGCTTCTGTAAGTGGAGAAGAGGAAGGGGGGGAAAAAGGACAGGAAAGATGGGGAGTAGAGAAGGAAAGGAGACAGGGAGGGTAGAAAGACAGGAGGGAAGGAGATAATGAATAAAAGGAGAGACAGAGTTTATAAAGTTTAATAAAATCAAAAAATTAAGCAAACTTGTAAAAAATAGAGACAACAAAGACTCACCAGAGGGGGGCCGTCAGCTTTATGTCCTTTAGACTGCTCAAGGAGAAGAAGGGGGGCGGAAAATGAGGGAGGAAGAGGAGGTTGGAGAAAAAAAAGGGGAGGAAGAAGAGGAGAGAGGAGGGAGAAGATCAGAATCATGTTAAAAAACAAAGTCATGTTGATGTTTCAGGACATAAGCTGATGAGATGTTTAATGTTTTATTCACTCTGAGCTCGTCACCATCAATGACTGATCCAAAGGGAATAAAGTGTGAGCTCAGCTGTCAAACTTTAAACTTCTCACCCAACATTTACAACAGAAGAACATGAGGTCATGAACACTTCTTCACCCAGAATTTTTCCTGGCAGCTCCCTGGTAAAAATACACACGAGTCAATGATTGAACGCAGTAGCAAATATTCAAGTATATTCACCACGTGTGAAGAACCAACTGAGGAAGATTTCAGGGGGAGTCTGTGTGAAATCTTCATGACTGCACGTGTGACAACGGCTTAATGTTCTGTACAGTGTTGAAGTGAATCTAAACACGTCAGAACTGAGGAAGGCTGTCATGATACCAGAATGTTACATGTTTACATGATTCTAATTAAAATCAAACAATATTAGATACCTGTTAGATACTAAGGCAACAAAAATAGAAAACCAAGGCACGCAATATTGAATAATTGTTTTTAATCATTGATTAAAAACAATTGCAGGCAAACTCCCGAGTCCTGCACAAAGGAGGAGCTCCTCTCAAGGGCCTGCACTAACTGGTCTTTACTCCTAAAGTTGGTCTTAGCAGCTCTGGCTCAGTGGTAGAGTTGGTCATCTCTAAACCGGAAGTTTGGGGGGGTCGATCCCCAGCTGCTTTAGCTAAATGTCCCATGTGCCCCTGGGCAAGACACTTAACCCCAAATTGCTCCTGCTGTTTCAAGAATGTGTATGAATTGACTAGTTAATGGCCACTTTACATAGCAGCCTCTGCCATCAGTGTGGGGATGGGTAGCTGTGACACGTGATGTAAAGGCTCTGACACATCAAGCAGACAACAAAGAACTAGTGGAGACGAAGGCCGCCTGTGGCGTCACCTCACGGCGCCTTTTGTCTTGGCCAAAAAGTTGCACTTGAACACACCATAAAGACTACAGTCGACGGCCAACCACCACATACGTTCTGGGCATGCGTGAGAGGAAATAACTCTCCATGCATGCAGGAGGCGGTAGTCTGTAATCATCTTTCCAAAAAGGGAAAACCGGAAGAGGTCGAGGACGGAGGAGAATGCAGATACATAAACCGTTGTTATGATACAAGAAGACCATTTTCACACCGCTGTGGCTCCCCATTCCTAATATAGGTACTTCTCGCCCTGTGAGATGGGCTTAAGTTGCCTAATGCTTTCAGAGATTGTGGGATTTCCCGAACAGAATATAAACCGCATAGAAAAACACACAAACGTCTCGGTATCTCCTTATAACCAAGGTATCTGCTGATTTAATTTCTACATCCACAAACTTCACGTTAAGCTGGAAGCACTGCGTGCCCTGCCCTCTTCTACTCCACAGCTGCTGAGAAAACTTCAAATAGCTTGAGAATTAAAATGCTAAAAGTCTAAATGTTCTGAAAAAAATATTGATTGTAATCAATAGTTAAATTAACAATCCATTTTTATCGAACACATATCATTATTATTAAGGGTTTCCATGGCTCCTCCTCAGCTCCTCCCACTTTTCAAAATGTTGACAATGTTTTTGTGAAATTTAGACAGAGTACAAGAGTAGATATAATAGATTATTATCTGTATTACTCAGGACAGATACAGAATATTCTACCTGCTGTACAAAGAACTGAGACACAATAACACAGAATAACCAGCACAGAGAGACAGCTGTCTGACTTCCCTGTGTCTGCATTGCTGACTGACAGCTACTCAGAACATGTGTGTCTCTGAGAGGTTTAAAAAAAAAAAAAAAAAAAACCCCAGTACAATTTATAGAATTAGATTAGAAACTGAACCCGTTCAGCAGATGAACTCTGGAACATCGGAGAATGAAAACATGTAAAAGATCTGTCAGAAAACAACGTATCAATGTCACTGAAGACATGAGTGCACGAGGAGGTGTCCATGAAGAAGCGAGAAATCAGAGCATGAGCAGTGAGGAAACACAACGTGATCAGAGAGTCTGAGGAGGACGGAGGAGGAGAGACCGAGCTCAGGAACAACCGGTACTCATTCAGTCTGTAAGCTTCAAAACAAACTCTGTATCTGTCCTCTTTAATGACCGTGAAGTGGAAAAGGAGGAGGGGGATGTACATGCCACAGAGAGGGGAGGGGCTAATGCAGAGTAGGCGGCTCCTCTCACCAGTCTCGAGCTGATTGGCTGAGAAGGCAGAGGGGCCGCCACCAAGAGAAGAGAGGCTGAGGAGGAGCAGCAGGAGAGAGGAGGAGGGGGGAAGAAACCACAGCGGACCACCTCCCCGTCCTGCTGGGAGCACCCAGGACCCCCCAACACTGCAGCAGAGGGCCCGGGGCCCAGCCGGAGCACCAGGGGCCCGCGGGGGACGGACCTGCTGCTGGTGGCCGGGGGCCAACGACTCGTCACTGCCTGATGACTGACAGTCACATCGACCAATCACATGAAACCAGGAAGAAAATCATCCAATCAACAAGAACGTGGTATAAAATCGATGTGATAGAGAAAGTATGAAGTAATCAACAGAAGGTAAATCTACCAATCAACAAAAACGAGGAAGAAAACCAAACCAAACAACATAATACAGACAGCAGAATAACAGCACCTGTTAGCACGGACACACTGAAACACAGTGTGTTTGTGTATGTGTGTGAGAGAGTGAGTGTGAGTGAGTGTATGTGTGTGTGTATGTGTGTTTGTACCTCTGGGTCAGTGATGCCCTGCACACATTTGGGACACTCCCAGCAGCTTGGCAGGTCTTTGTTCACCACTCCTTCTCCCTGAACCTGAACACACACAAACAAACAGGATGTTATCAGAGAAAGGATGAAACAGAAGAAATTCAAAAACACACACTGACTGATGACTAAATCATGTTAAAAATAACAGAGGTTCTCTGAAGAACGATGGTGAGCTTGTGAGAACGCAGCAGGAAGTATTCAGGAAAATCCCCCAACGAGCTAGCGGGAGGGGATGATGGTGTTTATATTCTGTGACTGACACATGACTATAGACTGTCTGCATGCAACCAGTGTTATCTCTGAGCATGAAATGAAAGTGCTTCATTATGTTTTTTCTGGTTATCAGCAGGTTCTTCCAAAGTGTCAAACTACACAGAGCATTGAAATAAAGGAAATAATTCTCTGTTGCTTTGTCCGCTGTGAGCTGCATGTGTGAACAAACAACTCAAGAAGAATTCCATGCTAGCCTGTCAAAAATCAGTCTTGTGAAACAAGGACTTCAGGATATAACATAAAAACACAAGTTGTGTGTGTGTGTGTGTGTGTGTGTGTGTGTGTGTGTGTGTGTTACCGTGAGACAGGCAGGATGAACAATCTGAGCACAGTTGGAACACTCCATGAGGATGAGGGAGGCGTCTCCTGTCTCCTCCTGGTTGGGCTCCTTACAGATCTCGCAGACAGCAGACAGAGGGAGGCCGGGCTGCAGGGGGAGGGAGGGTTATTCGACTACATGTTTCAATAAAACACACCTGTATATAAAAAGGTATAGTGTGATGTAATCCAGGTGTGACGTACGGAGAGACACTGCCTCAGCACACAGGTCTGTTTGAGTTTCCCCGGTCCTCCAAACTTCTTCATATCTCTACAGAAGTTACATTCTCCACACTCTGTTCTCATACACGCCTCACACCGTTTACACCTGCACACACACGGACAGAAAACACAGACAGAAAACACCTGAGCAGGTAGCACACGGGTATATCCATAATCTTTACTGTTTCTACCTGCTGCTTAATCAGAGCATTAACCAATCAGAGCGCAGCTGTGTTACCTGACTCTGCGACGTCTTAGCACCGACATGGAGGAGGCGGGTTTCTGAGGGCGGGGGACGACCGGTGTGTTGGCCAGTTTAGGACGGGGAGGGGGAGGGGGAGGAGGAGGAGGCTGGTACCACGAGGGCTGAAGGAGAGAAGAGATATAAACAGGTCAGGTGACCCAGACAGGATAAGAGAGACATTAAAACAATGTAACATGATATGATATAAAAACATGTTATAATGTTTGATACCAACACAGAGTCATCAGAAAGATTAAATGAGAGAACTTTACTGACAGCATGAGAACATTTCACACTCATTCAGTCTCTCTAAATCTGCTGATGCTCTGGTTACATGTCCAATCATTTATTTTATCAAACCTGGAAGACATAAAAATATATAGTTTTTTCTTCATATAGAAAAAAATCTAACATTTGAGACTTAAATTCAAACAGTGACACTTGGCCGGTGCTTGCACTGTTTTTGCTTTCTGTTGTCGTTTTTCTTCTTCCTAAAGCTTCAAAAACCTCAAGCTTTACAAAGTGAAGACTGTGGATCGTTTCAGAGTTATTTTGTACTTTTTAGTAGATCTTTTTTACGGTTTGAACATGACAACATTGATCTCTGAGGCCAGACTCCTGACACCTTTTCACACCACATGATGTTGATGTATTTGTAAAAAAAAAAAAATCCATGAACAAAAGTGTTATCTTTAGCTGCTAAAATAATTTTCACATATCGTTTAATCTGTGCAAGACACTCGGCACTGCACACAGGGTGCAGGAGTTTGAAGAGTCACTGAAGCAGAAACTTGTAAAGAAATGTTTTTCAAGTTACAACACACACTTTTATCTCCTGAGAGTTGCTTTAAAGACTTAAAATGTTACTGATGTGTCGACCGCCTCACTGTGTGTATACTTACTCTTTTTGGCCATCTGATGATGGGTTTCCCCGAGTACGACAGTTTGGGGTTGTCGTTGGCGTGTTCCTTCAGGAGAGCCTGCAGACATGATGCAGCATTAAATATGAAGAAGAAGAGTGTGATATAGGAACAGTAATGAAACACAGACAAAGACAAGGGCACCTCCAGGATTTCTGGGCCCCATGAACAGATCTCGCATTGGGCCCCTCCATCACAGCCTCAGTTGCATTAGCAACATTGGGACATTTTTTTTAGCAATTTATAGACAGTGTAAAGAAGTTTTCCTGCAATTTTGGTTAAGTATATTAGGTGTTTGTAGGTAAAATGTTGTCATCACGTCTAATTTTTACTATATTTGACCTCTACTACGCAGACAGACACAGACCTTGATGTGTGTGATGAGAGCAGGGGCGTTGTGTATTCCGGCGGGGACACACTTCTTGTTGGAAGGCAGAGCTTCCAGTTTGCCCAGCAGGTTCCACATTCCCTCCAGTTCAAGAGGAGTCACATGAACATTTTCAGGCTGCTGCTGCTGCTGTTCATCTTCTTCATCCTCCTCCTCCTCCTCCTCCTCCTTCACCAGCTCAGAGGCTGCATCAGAGCCGGGCGGCTTCTTCAGACCTGACCAAACAGAGAACACACTCTTTTAATAAGCAGGACACCCACCATGAAGACGTTCTCCTGGTCTGACACATACCGATGCCCAGCGAGTGTTTCTGGAACTCAGGTGTGAGGTACGAGGTCTTTGTCAGGCTGAACACGTAACGCTCCAACACGTACCAACACATCTCGTAGTAGAAAGGGTAACGGAACTTCACCGGAACCTGCCCACCAGGAGGAGGGGAAAAAGGTTCAAATAAAACCATTTAAACATTATCTGAATGAGTGTGTGGGTGTGGACGCGCTCATACCCGTGTCCTGTCCTCGATGTTACAGATGTTGAGCTGCATGGGGATGTTGAAGCTATGCAGGAAATTTCCTCCAAACACCATGGAGTCCAAAGGAGTGTAGACGGCATGGATCCAGCCTGAGTATTTAACACACACACTCGTAAATATAACCTTGCAGCTACACTCAAAATAAGGGGGGGGGCAATAGTGATATAACATAAGGCAGTATAGTTATCGGTGTCATTATCTCGTGTTTAGCAGCTTTACTGCAGAAAGTCATCTAACCCAAGTAGTGTGTCCAGTTTGCAGACAAATTAATAAATACACAGACATTTTAGGTGGGCACCAAAGCGCACTAAACCGAATTTGTGCATAATTTTGCTTTAAGCCCATTAAGGAATCAGAGTGATCAAAGTCTTATATAAATACATATGAATAAATGTATATCTATGTTGACCTGAGGGGATGATGAAGGTGCAGCCCTGCTTCAGCTCTATCCTCTGACAGTCCGACACTCGATCTCCCAGGAACACGTCTCCCTGTTTCCCTGACAGAACCCAGTTCTCGTACAGCTCCAGGTTCTGAGGTGAGGGAGGGATCAGCCAGAACACCTGAAGACACACGCATGGCTACAGGTCAAACACACACACTCACAAGAACAGTGTACACTTTTATAACTTTAATAATCAGAATATGTCCCACCTTACTCCCTCTTAGGATGTGGTACCACACTGATGTCCCTCCAAAGTCGATGTGGAAGTCTGTGTAACAGCCCTCCACACTCATCAGACAGTATCTGCTCACACCACGAACAAACACACATTAAATCCTCCATATATTCACGTATCCTGCATGAATAAAAGGTGGAGGTGTCTTACTTCTGGACTTTGGGGTACTGCATGTCTGTGATGGAGTTTGTCGAGTCTCTCTGTCTCTCCTTAAGGTGTCGAGGCCACATGTTGTCTACCCAGTCGATCAGGTCCACCTGCACACACACAGGACATATTGTAGAGCTGTTTGATCGGACATGTGAATGTTAAAGAAAAGTAAACAGGAAAACATACTGTCCCCGTTACTATAGTAACTCACTGTCCCTGTAACCAAAGTTACTCAAAGCCCTCATAACTGCAGAAACTCCCTGTCCCTGTTAGTTACCATGGAAACCTACTGTTCCTGTAACCATAGTCACATGTGTATAGTGTGTGTATTTTGTGTGTTAATTGTGTATTTAACGTACAGTTGTGGGTCTGCTGACCAGCGACTCCAGCTTGGTGTGGCTGAACTCCAGGCTGATGACATTATAAAGCTTCTCTCTCTGAGGGGGCGGAGTCTCGTAGTATCGAGTCCACTGAGCCATTGACATCTCCGTCCCTTTCTGAGTGCTGACGTCCATCACATCAATCATCCGCCGGCTGCCTGAGGGAGACACGCACACACACCGGGTCAGTACAGCACCTGATAAGTCATCGTGTCATACAGCTGTGAAACAATCAGCTATTGTCTGATGATGATATACGTCTCTGGGAACTTCACTCTGATTCCGAGGTTTATATTGTGAAGTAATCCAAGCTGGTTTTCTTGTGATTTATGAAATTAAGTCTGCTGAAACAACAACATCATGGTGCAGATTTGTAAAAAGTAAAAAAAATCAAGCTTTGTCAAGAGGAGAAGAAAACAACTTTTTAAATGTTTGTTTGTTGAATGGCAGTCAGATTGATCACTACTGATGCATTCAAGGAAGTCAGGAAATCTAAATGCTAATTGGCTTTCAAATAGACTTAACGCTCAAGAGTACATTTTTGATGAAGAACAGATTAGTAACGGTTACATACAGATGTCTTTATATAGAGGGAAATAAATCAAAGTCCACTTCAAACAACACACAATAATCTGAATTCTTACCAACAAACATCTTGACGTCGTTCACACTGAAATCTGAATCAGGCATCCTGCAGAATGACAACAGCACAATCAATACAATACAAAACAAAACAACAACGACAACAACATAATAATAATTGAGAGTATAAGGAAGATGAAGATAAGAAAGGTGAAAGATGAGGATGTGTGGAAGAGAGGATGAACATGAAGTGGAGGAGTCCTACTTGAGTCCGAGTCCTTCAGGTCTTTCAAACAGTATGGGGTCTCTCAGACCTCCTCTCTGCACGAACTCGAACGTCAGATCTAGCAGACAAAAATAAAACAAAAACATCATGTTTCTGATTTCCCTTCATGCACTGCAGCCTGTGGTTCTGACAGTGACCGTTTTCACAGGTTTATTTTTAAATCTGGTTATCCTGCACGTCCAATATCAACACACACACACACACTCCTACCTTTCCCCTCCATGCGCAGCACTCTGTCGGAGCTAAACCTCTGGCTGCTGACCTTCTCCTCCAGGTCAAACATCCGCCGTCCATCGATCTCTTCGTCTGAGATGCCATCGTCATGGTAACGCCTACGGGTACCAGCCCGCTGAAATATAACCAGAGGTATGATGACGAAACCAGGTACAAACAGAACAAGAACTTAAACATGTTCCTCAGTTGCTCAACACAGCAGACTGTAGTATCAGACTAATAAAGCCAACTGTTAACCATAACCACAGATGGTATCGAAAAGTTTCATATTTGGAAATGTTGAACACCTCAGACACAACAATTACAGAAGCAAACATATCCATACATCATATTTTACTCCAATGTTTTCTCCAACTCTGAATTTATTCATTTCATCGTCTGGATTACAACGCTGGTTTTCCTACGATAACGATTTTATATCTTGAGATCTCAAGAAAATGGTGGAAATTTGGGCTGATCAGGGCTTTGTAGTGTCGGTACATTTTGTTACTATTGATTATTAAAATATCAGATTGTATTGCTTTAAAAACAAGTGGTATCGAAAAAAAATTAAATATTAAACACTTTATAAACCTTTGAGACAATAGTTATGGAAGCCCTAAGTGGACACACATCCAAACCTATATGAGTCTGTTTTACCGTGATAACGAGGACATTTCTGATGTCTCATAAAAGTCTTGACTTTCTCTTGTTTTGTGTTGCTTGCACGGTATACCGAGACTAGAAAAAGCATCATGGTTAACAGCAGTTCAAAACAATGCAATATATCCTTTTATTAATACTTAATAGCAACAGAGTTTTAAACAGAGCCATGTTTCTCCATGTGCAGTATTGAAGCTCAGGGTACACTTGACGGTACACACTGACGCAAACCGGGGGAGCCGACATGTTCAATTTGGCGAAGCATCTCACTGACAGACATACCGACTTCTTTAAGGAATTTAAAGAGCGACAGGTTGTTTAGCAAATTTGATAAACAACATGCCCCATACGTACATACAGGGCAGAGACCTCAGTTTAAAAAACGGTGTGTTTTGTGGTTTGTGTTCAGTCTACTTTAGTGCACCACTGTGGTGTGTAGGCTAATAATCCTGGGTTGTAGCTTTAATAAACCAAGCTTACAGTTACTGTCTTTGAGTGGATTGTTTATATGGGCTATCAAAATGAATTATTACACTATTGAATTGCACAATAGCATAACTGATATCTCTCCCACCCCAAAAGAAACAAAGACAACATCTGCAACCACCCAGTTTGAGATAGCCTTCTCTTCCAGTTTAAACATAAAAACTCAAAAGAAGCAAAAAGACCAGACAGAGCAGTAAAAGTACAAATTTCTACAAAAATATGAATAAATTGATAATAAAACCTATCCTCTGTTGTACTCTTATACAAAATGTGGTACCATGCAGTAATATATTATTCCATTACTTGTTCTGGTGTTTTATGTTTCACCGTATCGTTTCAGTATTAGTATCAACATATTTTGGTTTTCTATCGAAGTCACAATTTTGTATCGTGACTTCTCTTGCATTATTCGGGATTACAACTCTGGTATTCCTGTGGTAGCAACTTAACTTCTTGACATCTTAAAAAAAAGAAAAAAAAAGAAAAAGGCAAACATGTCTCCTTATTACAGGAACAAAACGATTGATTTGTCTGCTCGCAGCTTCCGTAGCTTCGGTATTTTTTGATACCGTCCATTAAAAAAAAAAACAGAAATAGTATCAAATTTAGAAGAATCGGAAATTTAGAAAACTTTGAAGACAATCAAGATTCATGTTTTGGCTTTAAACTTACCAGCCTTTTGCTGTGCCGAGGTTTTGACTGATCCATGACAGAGTTAATGTAGATCCATCACAACGACCAGAACTATGCTAACCGATTATTAATGGTACACTCTTCCAAAAACTCTTTACTACAGATAGGGTGCACTATTTGTATTTAATATTACAATTAAATTACCAGAAAAGCTTCATACTTATTAAAAATTAAGCATTTAACATAAAATCATCATTACAGTGAGTTTCAGTCAGACTTCTCTGCAGCTTTGTTCCCTCCTCACACAGTCATCTCATATTGTTCGCTCTCGATGTAACCTACAGAAAACTCCACATAAGCGTTTATATAAAAAAAAAACAAATATTCAGATATTAAAAGTAAAATATGTATTTTTAAAAAAGCCTCTGCATCGTTCCTGCTCTATTAGTTAGGTTCAAAGTTGATATGCTACCCGATGAAGGGCCGCCATTTTCCATCCCATCACAAACACATCACAATGTCCCGCCCACAAACGCAAAGTGGACCAATCACAGACTCGCCGGGGAGACATTCATTGGACAACGGCGCAGTCAGTCACTTGAAAGCATTGTGTACTGCGATTGGCTGGGAGTAACCAATAGAAACACGAAAGAGGTGTAAAGAACCAACAACAGCACGCTCGAAAAAAGCATCTTAAATATGATTTGTCAGTGTTCTCCAGGTCGTTTATGATTGGACCGACGAACTTTCACTCAGAAAAAGTAGCCATTCATGTGAGGGTATGACGCAGTTACCACCTTATATACCAAGTCACCCTCTATTAGCCGAATTAGCTCAATAATAAAGCGTTTTTATCAAACTTACCCCCATACTGACACGGCTCGGCCCAACACACAAAGCTCCGGTAAACCGGAAAGAGTGACGTCCTCTAGGTGATTTCTCTCCCAGCCTCAGACTCACCTCTCCGCTGAGCCCTGAGACACGTTTGATGCCCTCACCTCAACGAGGAAGCGCTCGCAGTTCCATAAAAGGAAGTGTACCCTGAGCTTGTGGGGGCTGATTGGCTGTAACATGTTGCATGGGTGCTGTGATTGGCTGCTGAGATGTGTCTGTTAAAGCGCACTGTGAGAATACGGCGAGCGAGAGGGACATAACACAATGTGACAAATATAACAAAATGTAAATAATCACTAAAACACAGTAAAATACACAATTAAATTCATTTTAATCAACAATGACAAAAAGACAAAAGACGAGATTCAAAACGTCATTATTAAATCATAAATCACTACAATGTAACAGGCCTTAAATAAACAAAAAAAAACAACTCAAATAGCCTACTGTCCCTACATGTTAACATCTAGGTTTCTGTAAATATAAAAATGAAAGCTATTAATCATTAAAAAGGAGAAAAGATAAATGAGTGAGTTCTTTCAAATGTAGCTGACTGTCTGTCTGAGTCCTTACTCCAACAAGCAGCTCTGAATCCACACTTTATACAGGAAAGTCTGATTTTAAGATCTAACTAAATAAAATAGATTATTATTAAAGTCATATTCAGTTCTCTGTGAACTATTGGGTCATGTGGACACAAAACTACTGAAAAAAAACATGTTCACAGGTTATTTAGTTATGTATTGTTTTATCCTCTCAGTATTCCTGAATCAAATAGTTGGTTGAATAGTCCATTATCATTATATAAAATGATACGACCTCTGTTAATCGTTAATCAATAGTATCAAAAGTACTGAAGCTTTTTAAAAAAAAAACTACAACTATGTTATAAGACAGGTTTGTAGGTGAGGAATGAAGTCATGGAAAATGTGTTAAATTATTTTATACAAATTTATATTGTTATTTTGTATTTATTTCCATATGCAGTTTATCCAGCATACAGGAGTTTGTCTGAAATTGTTTTGAATTAAATCAATAAATTACCTCATATTGGGTGTCTATGACATCTATTTTTGTTTTGTTTTTGTTGGTATCAAGCAGGTATTGAAATTGTTTGATTTTATTAAAATCATATCAAAGTTAAAAACAAAATCTAGTATTGTGACAGGTCTGAATAACTCTATCTGTGTTTATAGCCTTAAAAAACCTAATTGCAGTTTAAATTTAATAAAATGAATTAAACAATGTAATATCTGCATCTTTTGACATTTGAATCATGTTCAGCTCCTATCCCCCAATAAGCTGATGGACTCCTGCAGAGTGTCAGTGTGGACGCAGAGTGAGCAGCGAGGAGGAAAAGATGAAAAGACCAAGGTCAGACCACAACGTCAAACAAGAACGACCTCTTTGGAAACAACTTGTTTTTTATATAAAAAAATGGAGGGGGACATACACACACACACACACACACAGACACACAGACAGACACACAGACAGACACACACACACACACACACACACAATAACAATGTTTGTTCCAAACACACAGACAAAAACTAGACTATTAAACACGCCCAAGGCAGAGTCAGCGTGTCAAATAAAGCAACGAGGGCTATGTTCCATTTCTAATCACAAACACCTTCTATTCTCTGATCACAGTCTAATATACAGTCCAATACTGCCAATCAAAAAGAGTCTATATATCACCTGTCAATCAAACAGTCTATTAACCTTGTCAATCATATCGTCTACTTTATATCAGTGTATGTAACACCTGTCCATTGGTCCAACATTCAAACTAACTGTTGATCTTTGTTTTAGGAGACTGGCTTTATCCTTAAATCAATTACTTCACACACCTCTGTGTTAACAGACAAGTGAGCAAGAGAGGAATGAGTCATCAAAAATTGCAAATAAACTCCTTCACTCAGTCTAAATTGCACATTGTCAATGTTTCTGTACTTATAAGGAAATGCTGAAAATGTTATTGTGCAATGTACACAGTGTGCAGGAGTTTACTTGCAATCAGTGATTAAAAACAATTAATTACATAATATTGGGTTTCTAGGACTTGTTGATGTTAACAGAATAACAGCTGTGTGACACTTAAAATGCTGACTTCACTTGAATGCATCATGACGACGTGCAGGGAGACACCATTAGCAGTCTGAGGTGTACAGGTGCTGCTCTTTTGGAATCGCCTCTGAATCCTTCTCAGATATTTCTGAAGACAACAACATTGCCATCCATTCAGTGAGTCTGTGTATACGTGTGTTTGTCAATGAAGAGTTTCCCCTGTCTGTCTGAAGGATGCTGGATTTATATTAAAACATTTCTCTAAGCTCAGAGAAGATCTTTCAGGTTTGGAAAGAAGAGACATGTTCATCTTAAAAACAGAAATGTGTAAAATAACAATATGTAGATTTGTACTGTCTGTTCTCTTAGATCACCTCCTGCTCTAATGAGGATTTATCTCCCCTTGTAAATAGACTTGTGCATTAATGTATCAGTTTATAGAGAAATCTCAGTTATATGAGAAGACATATCCTGCTCTGACAGCTGCTGATGGGCTGAACGCATGCACACACAAACGTATAACATTATTATATGGACAAATCTTGCAGCTAACACTTCAACAGATGAGCTTATCATGTGTGTATGCTCAGGTGTGCAGCAGTGACTGAATTTAATGTAATCCTGATAAAGAATATTTTATAAAAGATGTAATAGGACAAGTGAGGCCTGTCAGGATAAATCTGTCACCATCAGAACAGAGACAGTCATCATGTTGTGTTCCGAGATAACTGAGAGTGAATCTTAATTTGTTTCTGCGCTGAGATGAAATAAGAGGAAATAGAGACCATCACACCACTCCTCATGCAACGCTTCACGCTGCTCCTCAGGTGTAATCACATGCCTGGTATCTTCAGGTGTCTTTAAGCCTCACCAGGTGTCTTTAGATGTCTCTTCAGATGTCTCCAGATGTCTCCAAATGTCTCCAGGTGACTCAGTTTGTCTTCAGGTTTTTCTCATGCTGTCTTGAAGCCTCTCCAGATATCTCCAGGTATCTTTAGATGTCTCCAGGTGACTCAGTGTGTCTTTAGGTGTTACTCTAGGTGTCTTACAGTCTCTCCAGAGCTATGCAGGTGTCTCTGTGTTTCTCCAGGTGTCTCTATGTATCTCCAGGTGTCTCCAGGTGTCTTACAGTCTCTTCTGAGATATCCAGGTGTCTCTATGTTTCTCCAGGTGTATCCAGGTGTTTCTATGTATCTACAGGTGTCTCCAGGTGTTTCTATGTATCTACAGGTGTCTCCAGGTGTTTCTATGTATCTCCAGGTGTCTCCAGGTGTCTCTATGTATCTCCAGGTGTCTCCAGGTGTACTGTTTGTTTATTTGATGAAGCTGTAGAGGAATGATCCAAGGATGAGGGACAGAATCACACAGCAGCAGAAGATCATCATTTGTTTCTGCAGAGAGGAAAAGGATACATCATCATCATCA